TGCACCTTGTTGTCTCGGATTCTCCAGCATCTGCAGTTCCTACTATCTCTTACCTAAGCTCATCTTCTACCATCGATCACCTTCTCATCGCGCTCACCCACCCTCGCGCTGTGCGCCACGTCATCACGCAACGACGCACGACACCAGACATGCTGCGCATGTGCCTTCAACCCCCATTGCAAAGGCCGCTGGGACTTGTAGTCTTTCCTGTGGAATTGGCCATTCAAACCAGGAGCAGGAAATTCAGCTTTTCGAGCCTGCTCTGCCATTGATTAAGATTATAAAATCCCAACAGTGTGAAAAGAGGATGTTTGGCTCATATAGTGTGCATTGACGCTCCTAAGAGGATCCCAGCCTCCCTACCCTAGTACCCCTGCATTTCCCATGGCTAATCCACCCAGCCTGCAAGTACATACAATTTAGCATGGCCAGTGCACCTAACCTGCACTTTTAGACCGTAGGAGGAAACCAGAGCATCCTGGAGAAACTTACATAGACACAGAGAGAATGTGCAAACTCCACACAGAGTTGTCCGAGGCTGGAATCAAATCTGGGTCCCTGGCACAAAGAGGCAGCCGTGTTAATCACTAAGCCACCATGCCAATCGTGGCTGAGCCTCTTGCTCAATGCCACACTCCAGCTTTCTTCCTATGCCCCTTGATGCCTTTAAAATCTAGAAATGTGTCTGTCTCTTCCTTAAATTCAATAAAATAGTCATAATGTCACATGCTCTATCTCTGGGAGGGTGCATGTATTTTTAATCAACCGTTTTCTAAGTGTTATGATGCCCCTATAGTGTTTTTGAGGAGTAGCAGCTATTGTAGGAAACACTATGGCTGTAAGATCTGCTCCTTTTTTGAGGTATTTTCAATGTTGGAGCTGATTTCCTCAAATTCTGGGAGCAGTAATTACTGTTTTATAAGATGTTGCATTGTTTTGGAACCCTCTTTGGGGAAAAAAATCAAAACAATGGCACTTTGAAAAGAAGGAAGACAGACTATAGCAGTGGCAGTGACCACTTGAGATGTGATTCAAACGGAGAAAGAAACCTACAGTGATGCGTGACCCAGCACTGCTACTGCCTCTGCTGTTTGATTTCAAGTATTTCTGGACATTGGAGTTCATCTGAGAAAAAATAACAAATAGTGAAATTCACAGCTGATCTTGGAGAAACTTGTGTGGCAGAGCTCATAGCTGGGGAGCAGCTAAGTGGCTTTGATAGGCTGGGGCTACTTTCCTTGGAACGTACTTATAGAGGTTTATAAAATCATGAGGGGCATGGATAGGGTAAATAGACAAGGTCTTTTCCCTGGAGTGGGTTGTTAAAAACTAGAGGGCATAGGTTTAACGTGAGAGGGGAAAGATTTAAAAGGGAACTAAGGGGCAACTTTTTCACGCATAGGGTGGTGCATGTATGGAATGAGCTGCCAGAGGAAGTAGTGGAGGCTGGTACAATTACAACATTTAAAAGGCATCTGGATGGGTACATGAATAGAAAGGGTTTAGAGGGATATGGGCCAAATGCTGGCAAATGGGACTAGATTATCAAGGATATCTGGTCAACATGGACAAGTTGGACTGAAGGGTCTGCTTCCATGCTGTACATCTCTATGACTCCATGATATCAGCCAATTTGTGCCCAGTAATAACAACTTGTTTCATAAAGCACTTTATCATGATTAAAATGGCAAGCAATTCACAGTATTATAAAAGAAAATATGTCTCTGACCCATACAGAACCATTGGGCAACTCTCACATTTGAGGGAGACAACTGGTGATGGTTTAACCTGAGGATTACCACAACTCAGGCAAGGGGAGCGGTTGAGGAGGAGAGCCCATGATAACCTCAGCCAAAATAGGAATTAAACCCATGCTGTTGGCATTCACTCTGCATTGCAAACTTGCAAACCAGCCCCCAAGACCCAGTAAGATAATAGATGGCCAAATGTCTGATCAAAGAGTTAGGCTTTAAGCAGTTTTTTTTTAAAATAACTCCACAGAGGCTGGTGTCCCATGACCAAGTCACCCAAAATTTACATGAGGAAAGTCCTTGACACTGATCCAGTTTCCTCAGATTTGGCTCTCAGAGTAAATAGAACATCTGACACTCCTGCTTATATCTGTCACCCAGGCCTCCCTGATTGGACCAGATTAACAGCCCCTGGTAAACCTGGCTGATCTCGTTACAATCACTACAATTTTAAAAGCAGAAAGAGAGAGGCAAAAAAACAGAGAGGGTTAGGGAGGAAATGCCATGGTTCAGAGTCTCAGTAGGTGACAGCACAGTCATTAATGCCGTGGCAATCAAAATCAGAAATGCTCAAGAGGCCTTAATCAAGGACTGCGGATGTGTTAAAGGGTTGTATAGCTAAAGGAGATTGCAGAGTCAGAAAGGTGTGAGGCTCTTGAAGAATTAAAAATAAGGTGAGAATTTTTAAATTGTGGTATTGTTAACCATTGTAGGACAGAGAGCACAAGCATGATAGGTGAACATGCCTTGATGACAGACAACGGTCTGATAACAGGAGAGGTTTTGTGCAAGGAAAGTCATGTCTCACAAACTTGACTGAGTTTTTTCAGGAAGTTACCAAAAAGATTGATGAGGGGCAGAGCAGTAGATATTGTTTATTTGGACTTTAGTAAAACCTTTGACAAGGTTCTGCATGGTAGACTAATTAGTAAAAGTTAGGTCACACGGGATTCAGGGAGAGCTTGCCAATTGGCTTAACTGCAGGAGACAGAGATTGGTGGTGGAGGGGTGCTTTTTGGACTGGAGGCCTGTCACCAGCAGTGTTCCACAGCGATCAACTCTGGGCCCTCTTTTGTTTTTTATATAAATGAGGACCAAAAACTGAAGTTGCTGGAAAAGCTCAAAAGATCTGGCAGCAGCTGTGAGGAAAAACAGAGTTAACGTTTCAGGTCCATTGACCCTTCCTCAGAAGTGATGGTAGCTACAAAAATGTTGGTTTATATGTTGAAGATAGGGTTGGGGGAGGTGGTAAGGAGTAAACAACAGGTGGGGATAGAGCCCAAAGAGAGAGAAGAACAGTTGGATAGGCAAAGGATTTGATAATGATCTGGTTAGGAGGGTGAATAGCTGTTAATGGGGACTGCTGGTGACTAACAATAGGTAGTTTCATAGAATCCCTACGTTGTGGAAACAGGCCCTTTGGCCCAACAAGTCCATACTGACCCTCAGAGCATCCCACCCAGACCCATCCCCCTATAACCCACCTAATCTACACATCTCTGAACACTACAGGCAATTTAGCATGGCCAATCCACCTAGCCTGCATGAGGAAACTGAAGCACCCAGAGGAAACCCATGCAGACAGGGGGAGAATATGCAAACTCCACACAGACAGTCACCTGAGGGTAGAATTGAACCTGGGTCCCTAGTGCTCTGAGGCAGCAGTGCTAACCACTGAGCCACCGTGCCACCCCAAACTCATAAAAATACTTTTTTTTCTTATATCTATAAGACTCTGTTAGCTAATATTGAAGAAGGACATGAAATTGAAGACAATTTGTTGACCTAATCATGAAACATAATTGACAGATTTGTCTAGTAATGTCCAGCATGGCTCTGTGTGAAGGCTCAATTATTCACAATATTTATTAACAATTTAGATATTGGGATAGAAGGCCTCATTTTCAAATCTTCCAAAGGCATTATGATAAGTAGCATTGTGAGCAATATGGATGAAAAGATCAAATTCCAAATTACAAAGATATATTGTGGTAGGGAGTGTCTGGAATGAGAGTTAGGTGGTGGCAGGTTCAATCGAGACTAATTGAAACTAAACTGTTACTCGAAAGGGAACGATGCGCGGGGTTACGAGGAAAAAAATGGGAAAATGGTACTAAATTAATTGCTCATTTGGAAAGTCAGTGTAGTCCTTCTGTGCTGTAACAATTCTGTGATTCTGTCTGTCTCTGTCAGATGCTTCCAGACCTACTGGGTTTTTCAAGCACTTTCTGCTTTTGTATCAGATTTCCAATATCTGAAGTCTATTGTTTTTATTAAAAAGTGACTGCTTAAAAATAGCAATGAGAATATTGAAACTTAATGTTCCCTGAAAATGTTTGCATGTTAACATCAAAATCAGATTAATTTTAAATATAATTACATATAATTAATGCATTCTGAATCAAAATAAAGGAAAACTGAAATTGCATGTCAGTTTTAAACAGACTTCACAGAATTGACTCTACACATTTAAACTTTCTATTCCAAATCAGGGAAATGCATTCTCTGACTCTCTTGATAATGCAACAACTCGCACCTATATCATGTCTTTATGTAAAAAATGGACAGACAGAGTTCACTAGAGAATTATCAAATAAAACTTGACACTGGGCCAGGTTAAGGAAGTGGTCAACTGTCTATGTTTTCTGTAGCTCTCAGTGTTTAGGTTCACAAAACCCTTTCTCTACATTTGTAGTTCGGAATTGCTGCAGAGTTAACACATCTACCATTTGGGTTCCTGCCAGGCTTAAATTATCCACCACTCCTTAGTTTGAACATCCACATACACACAAAGACTCACACTTTCAATGGAGCAAGGCAGCTGTCGGAGGTCAGAATGCACCCCCCCTCACAAAATACTAGTTGAGAGAGGTGGTCAATGAAACTTACAACAACGTAACACCATTTCTGCAATAAAAGAAAGGAGAAAGACTAAGACAGGTTAGAGGACTACATGCTCACATTCAGGAACTTATGATCCACAGGGACTAAAGTTTCAGAGCCATAACAGTGGGTCCCAGGTATCTGTTAATTACAGAATATCCAAGCGTCTTTCTTCAGACCAAATATAATTTTGAAATTCAGAATGGGTTTAAATGTTTGGCTGCCAAACATTCAACTATTTAGAAATAATTCAAAACATTTCTGCAAGTCCATAGAAGCAAAGATTTCCACAGTATTTGGTTTATGTTGTCTTCATTGACTCTTTTTACAGAAATTTGGAACTACCATGCAATTCTATCTCCACAGCCCTATATTCTGTTCAAATGTTTATCTATTCTTCTTCTAAAATATGCAATTTTCCCTGTCTCAACCACTCCCTGCGGATGCATTCCATATTCCAACAAAGGTTTACATAAAGAAATTTCTCCT